CCCATTGAGCATCACGTTCGCTCTGTAAGAGATTCAGACTTGGTATCTGGGGTATGCACAGTTCGCGTCCTGCCCTTTGAGAAGGTTTTGAGAAGATACGATCTCCCTTTCCCCTCTACTCTACCATCTTCTTAGCTTCTCCATAGTTATACCATAGTTAATACCACTTTTCCGGAGTTTATTCCTACTAAAATTCCTCTGTTTTTTAAACAGGAAGAACCGAGAAAAGTCAACAACCGGAAACATTTTTGTAAAAGGCAAATATACGACCCCAACGCTGGGATTCCCAACATATGATGTGCCCTGGTGATAAGCTGTAAGCTCTCTTCAGAGCCAGAGAGGCGGTAGTGTGATGCAGGGTGCAGCATCATGATGGGTGGCCTGGCGGTGTCAGTACTCCTACCCCGAGTCCCTCCTTCATTTCGATCCCTTTTCTTTTCGTGTACCTGCCATCTTCCTTACCATAAGTTTTCTCAACTTCCTAGCAATTTTCCCCGTTTTTTAGACAAATTTTCCATTTATTCCTGACCTGATGTGGTAAAGTTACAACGTCGAAAAATTTTATAATTCATTCGTAATATTGAAAATTCTTCACCGCACCTGCTCCGCTTTTGACTGGCTCTCTTGCGACCTTTCACTTTTTCGGAGTCACCCCTTTTTGACTTTTGTATTTTACAATTTTGCATTTTATTTTTTTTCTCCTAGATTGTTGGTGATAGATACCGTGAAATTGTTACAGCTGCTGCTTTCTAATGGAGTATAGATTTGGATGTTTTTAGAGGGTGGAAGACTGGAATGATTCAAGCATCAAAACAAAGTGTCAATGGACATCGCCTTTCAAAAAATCTTTTCTCAGCTGAGGATTCTATTCTGTTTAGAATGCTCATTATCTGCAACTAATCCTAATCGCGTCATGTCTGAAACATTGGCAACAAGTATTCCTCAAGACGCCGTCGTCGCTGCCCATGGCGATAGAATTCCAGCAGGATTCTCATCTACGCATTCGTTGAATTTAATATGTGATGGTAAGTCCTAGTACTTCCTTGTTCGCTTTCTAGAACAACTATTAAACTCTAAACTTCTAGAACGTAGTCATTTTTGACTTTCTCTAAATAGGCTGTTTAGTTTAGGATCTCAGCCAGATAGGCCCAAAAAACTCAAAACTTTTTGAAAAATCCTGAACCTTGTTGTAATTTTGCGGATGTTCCGTTGATTATTAACCTCGTCATCAGGCCAGTATTTTTGTTAATTAGGGCAGGTCGTTAACGGGCCCGAGACGCGCTGCAGCAGCGACGCTGCGTAGGAACTATTTGCTCATATTTTCGAGCCTAATTATTCATTTTTTCACTCCTTTTCATGCTTGATAGCTGCTGTTTTTCAAGGATTAGCCAGCGTAAGTACAGTAGAAGTATCTCAGCGAGACGGTGAGGCTTTCTAAGGCCACGCTGGCTAGCGGCCCGATATTTGCCTGTTGATCGAAAGCCGCAATAACCTTGCCCCTTTCGTCTCTGACACTGACTCTGCGCTCTAACGCACGCCGCCGCACAATCTACCCACTCTCCCGTTCTGGACTCTCGCCGATCGATAATTGCTCCAGCAGCTGATTTTGCGGCACTTTCGCAGTATTTTTCTATATTCAGCTTGAAAAAGCTGAGATTTTTCGACTTTCGGCTTCAATCGTTAGAGGTTTAAAAAAAAGGCATTTCTTTAAACTAGAATTGTATCATTTGCATGAATTTAGCTTGAAATTCCCCTAGAAAACATTTTTTTCCTTCTGATTTTCTTCACTTCTTCACATTTTCTTCACAGGCGACTTCGAGCTTCAGAATAGAGTCAGAGATGGTTCTCGATAGTGACGAGATCACATCTAAGACACTACTTTGAAAACCCGCTTCAATAACAATAGAAGAAGTGGGGACATATAAAGAAAACTTTGATCGCGAAAATCAGAAAGGAAAAAAATGTTTTCTAGGGGAATTTCAAGCTAAATTCATGCAAATTGTGATACAGTTTTAGTAAGAATACTCACCTTCAACGATTGAAGCCGAAAGTCGAAAAATCTCAGCTTTTTCAAGCTGAATATGGCAGGAATTCGGAGAAAATGCGGCAGGAATCAGCTGATCGGCAGCGTCAGCCATTATCGATCGGCGAGAGTGCAGGACGGAAGAGTGAGTAGAGGGCGCGGCGGGGTGTGTTAGAGCTCAGAGTCAGTGTCAAAGACGGAGAGGCAATGATGAATTTCCTACAATTTCTCGGCTTTCCATGGACACGCAATCAGCGGAGGCTCGCAGGCTGTCGTTAGGGAAGGCCCCACCGTCCGGTGAGCGCTCCATTGTATAATTAGTATCTTTATAACTTTTTGCAAGCCCCACCGTCCGGTGAGCGCTCCATTGTATAATTGGTATCTTTATAACTTTTTGCAAACAATTAAATGATTTAACAAACAATTAGACAAATGCCTAGAGAAAATTGCGAAAAGCACATCATTACGAGAGAAAATTAAAGAATCCACAGGTTAATACACTTCATAAAGACAATAACGTAAATTATCTTGAAAAAAATAGGAAATGCAGTGAAAATTAGGAAAAAATTGCAAAATTAGGGTGGAAACAGCTGATCGCCACGTCGTGACGCGCTGCAGCCGCGTCGCGACACCTGGGGCAGGCTAATCAACTGCCCGGATGACGACGATAACATAGTACCTCGGCAAAACACTTGACATATATCGAACAGCACAGTAGTCAATTAGAAAAGATGCCAAGATAACCTGTCACCAGGGTCTGCCTCATTACAGTGACTGTCTCGGATGAAGGGGAGTTGTTCAATATTTTAGGAAGGCTATCAACCTATATGAACAGTTAGTGGCAACTTTCGTGACGTTTCTACAATGACTCGGTCATATTAATCTAGGTGATTCCATAGTTTGGGTTTTGAGGAGAAGAAGGTAACTATTTCTTCCTCTTACAAGACCCCGGTGAAGGGAGCTACTCCCCAATTAGTGAAGCATACCCAGGTGGAAAATCGATTTTGCATTTTGGCACTATTTACCCTTTACTGCCCCGATCTTCCAAAAACGGGCCAGTTGTTTGAGGCGACTTTTATCTGCAGTTGCAGAATAGGATTATGAAAAATTTGTTCCTAAAGTAGATTGTATCTCCTGAACAGAATATCACATCCCGCTCCGGCAGCGAACCTCTTGGCGCTCGCGCCACAGGCGCTGCAGCCAAATACCCTAAATCACAACAATTCGCTGAAAACTTGTTTCCTGTGTCTGTCTGTGCTGTGATATTCGTGTTCAGGAGGTAGTCTGGCCTCCTGAACACGAATATCACAACTGCTTGGCTCGAGACCTAATGGCGTCCGGGCTACAGACGCTGGCGCCAGGATACCCCAAATCAACGGCGCCTATGGGCGCGAGCGCCAGGAGAGTTTTCCGGGCTAAGCGGAATGTGATATTCGTATTCAGGGGGTCAAACTACCCCAGGAGACAACATTTGAGCCAAATCTGTCCACGGAGAAAAAAGTCGGTCAAAACTGGCTCAATTCTGGATGGTTGGGGCAATAAAGGGTAAATAGTGCCGGTATTTTTTATAACGAGCAGGGATGTCAGACATATTCCGGCGTCTCGTCGCTAGCGAAGGTAGGCCAGTACAAGCCACTACCGAAATATGCTTAAAAAGGTCTGAAACATCCAGAACTTTTGAATTTCTTCTGTGGCTTTTGGGTTTTTTTTCAATCAAATTTCAATTTTACGCACCGCCATCAACCCAGGGTACATAGCGCACATCATCATGTTCAAAATTTTTCTAATGCAACCTCTCTTCCACGACATACACCTGTCGACGATCAGGTATGGTGAGATTACAACCTCACCGTTGGGGGAGGGGTGGCTAACTGGCACTCCCATGTCTGATTGCACACCATCTTTTGCGGATTCCCCAACGCGGTTGAAAGAGATCGTCTTTAGGTGCGAGATAAGGGTCTGGTGGGAATTATTCTAATTGGTTGTTAATCTTTACCGGTTTAAGGCGTGTTACTCACTCCAAACCTTCCTCGCTGGCGGAGCGGAATTTTGCTATTTTTGATTGTTGATCAAGTACTTCCTTGACGCTTATGCGGGGGGGTCGCTTGGGAGAATCTTCCCATTTCATGGACTGCTGTCCCAATAGTCTGCGGCACTTATGTCTTCCTGCCTTGTAATCACCGCCCGTCGCACGTTAGAGGTACCCAGCGAGGGGGGTCGTATTTGGTCGCTGCAGCGAGGAAAGGGGTCGTATTCGCCTTTGAGAAGAATGGTTTTGGTTGTTGATGTTTCTTGGTTTTTCCTGTTTCGCTAGTGCTATAGACTCTCTCCCTCCTCCCACCCGCTCGGCTGTAGTTTTAGTTTTGTTTCGGGGGTGAACCTAGGGATTTTCCCGGAAAAGTGAAAGGAAGTTGGAAACAGGGCGCATCGTTGTTGGAGATTCCCAAAAAAAGGGGTATTTTCCTTCTGACCTTCTGGGAGAGGTTGCTGAGTTTTCGTGCTTTTTCCTGTTTCATGTGTACTATATACCTCCGCTCGATAGCAAAATTCTTGGGGGAAAAGTAGGAAAATGTTCGGGAAATTCTGGAAAAAAGTGGTAGGAAGTTGGGAGAAATCTAAGAAACGGTGAAGAGGGGGGTGGTATTTTCCTCGCGGTACCCCTCTGCTCGAGAGCTTGCTGAGCAGGGAACCAGGGGGGTCATACCAATCCTCTAAAAAAGATGAATCGTACGGACCCAACCAAAATTAACAACTAATGATGTGCCCTGGTTGGAAAGGTCAAGAAGATGGTAGGTAGGATGGGGAAGGGGATCGTGCCAGGAAGTTTCGTGTATTTTGCAGAACATCTGCCCGCTGCAGGACGTGCCGTGTTTGTTATGCCTTAATGAATGAATGGCGCGATAGGGGTCCATTTCGTTTTTTTTTCTTTGATCGGCTAATAGAGTTGTGTCTGGCCGTTCAGCAGCACTTCGAAATTAAAGTGAAATTCATGTTTTTGGTTCTCATTGCGCCAGAATTGATGGCAGCTTGTGTTGAGGAATTTTGATATTTTCCCATTCGAAAGCGAAAGCAAAGTGGTGACTGATCACACGGCTGGACATGCATCATCAATTCGGGCATTGCTGAAATTTTTGTCAAACGGAACACGTCTTCTCTTTCCCTCTCAATATTCCACGGTAGCAGTGGCGTCGAAAGTAGCGCAGTTTATTCACCAACTGTTGGATATGGTGTTTGGGTGTTTTTCACCGAAATCATTCACAGAAGTGGATGATGGCACGCAATCGTACGTCTCGTTTGATCCGATGGCTGGTGACGATCACGTTAATACAACAGTCACACACGGGTCTGATCCGATGATTTCTTCGACGGGATGCAGAAAACATTCATTACGTAGGTCGTCCAGATTACTGCTCACTTTTAGTTCCTTTCCAAAGTAAAGCTTTTCCGCTTTTCAGAGGAACTCAAAGGAATCCATTTACATCAGCGGTCGTTTTCTGCCGAGGATACATCGTGCAACAAGGAAAATCATGTGGGTGAAGGAGTTACCGTTTACCTTTCAGGGTATATGGTTACCCGAGTTGATTGTAACCATTACAGTTTGCCAGCGCCCCCATTCAAAACGGACTCTCCTTCAAAGGATTCCAAGATCACGATTCTGGCAATATAAGTGGCAATGCTGAATTTCCGAATGACGGCTCTGGTGAGATGAATAGCTGTGAGAAAGCTGATCTCTCAGAACGAACAATTGTCGAGGTAAGTGTCGTCACTCTCGTCTTAACCATAATTTCTTTGAAGTGCGTTCATACTTTGCGTCAGAGTATGCTCCAAACGGTGGATCGATGCCTATACTTTTGCTGAGCGAACTGTGAACGCGTTCATATTAGTTCGCGATGTTGCGTTGAAATTCATTATAAGGCAAAAGTTCTGGTTTCAGGATGACCGGACACTGGCGTACGACATTGGTTCTATTCAAGAAGAGGAAATACGCCGAATTGAAGAAGCTGTAAGCAGTTTGACTGATGGCTTGGAATTACCGCGCGCACATGCTGACACACACGGTTCTTCTGTGGACGGCGATTGTAAGTCATTTTGTGGACCGGTTTCTTATACCCCATTTGATCGCCTTTCAATTTCTTTTACTTTCACAGGCTAAATCTGGTCTTGAATTACATAGTTCTTGACGTCGGTTTGTCCCTTTCTCTGACGCGCCACACGCTCCACATTTACTCGGAGTTGTAGTAGTGCGGCGCTTGTGGACCTAACAGCAAGCTGTTGGAACAACAAAAAAGACAAGCCTAACGAGCGATTAATTCTAGGACCAGCCAGAAGGATCAAGTATTTGCCGTTAATCAACCCCTTTTTGGGATGCGGCTTGTATTCTATTTCCATTCGCAATTGTAGTGGCTTGTTGAGTGTGGCCTATAAATGGCTTGCTGGGGCCAACCGATATACAAGTCGAATGTTCTTATCTTTATAGAAGAATTTGGTACCTATCAGCCGTCCCCGGGGTTGGTTGGCCTGGGCTAGACCGACTCGGGATAGGACCACGGACCGCGCGCACGGTAAGCGCGCCACTTGGCACTACACCAACTCCGCCAGCATTAGGTACCATGTTGAGTCTAGACCCTTATAATCTTTCTTCTCTCACGAAATAACGCGAACTCTCGTTTCGTATAGGAATTTGTTGCCTAGCATACCGTACCCTCTTATCACGGATACTAATCCTTTTTGGCGCAGGCGCAAACCAGCGATGCAAGCATAGCATCACAAATTTTAGCACTGTTCAACTATTACTACCCCAATTTTCCGAAAACGGGCCGGATCTTGATCGACTTTTTTCTACGGGGGCAGATTTGGCTGAAAGTTGGGTTCTAGGGGTAATTCGACCTCCTGAACACGAATATCACATCCACTCCTCCCGAAACTGACACTTTGGCAGGTGCCTGGCGCCCGCGCCACAGGCGCCGCCAAAGTGCCCTAGATCACCAAATCCGCTGAAAACTTGTGCCCAGGGGTAGTTCGACCTCCTGAACACGAATATCACATCCGCTCGGCGCTCGCGCCACAGGCGCCGGCGCCAAAATGCCCTGAATCACTGGCACTTTCAGGCCAAGTTGGATGTGATATTCGTGTTCACGAGGTCGAATTACCCCTAGAACCCAAATTTCAGCCAAATCTGCCCCCGTAGAAAAAGTCGATCAAGATCCGGCCTGTTTTCGCAAACTGGGGTGGTAATAGTTGAATAGTGTCCAAATTTTCCCAATAAACGTACATGTTCTCAGAGCTTCCTTCAAGATTAAGAAGCGCCATGATTTATGTGACATCCAGGCAGCACCCTCACTTGTCTATCATTCTAAAGTGCCAACCTGGACCTATCTTTGGACGAAGCAGTATCTTGCGCTCAGATTTAGGTCGAGGTTGGCATCTATAAGCATTTCCAAGTGGAGCCTCAAACAGTAGTGGATGAGTGAATGTCAAGTATGATCGGGTCGCTCGTAAATCCTATGCATAAATTTGTTACGAGTCTTGAGTGGAAAAAATCCGACGTCAACAGTCGTCGGCGTCAGAAATCTCATATTTGTGATGAGATGGGGCAAATTGCTCTTATGGGGGCAGGTTTCTAGCAAAATCGAGGTTTGACCTGTTTCTCGAGAGTAGTACGCACACGAGTAAAAAGTTCTGATTCGTTATTTTAATATCTATACTAATGGGTTTTTTTAAATCTCTCGTACAATGCGTGTTCATTGGGGTTTCCTATGTGCCTTAAACGTAGCGAAGGGGGAACAGGGGGGCGTCAGTACATTGTTCATCATCATCATTCACTAGGAAAGAGTATTCGAAGTTTTGACATCTTCAGATGAAGCGGCTAGCCTGTTCTGAGACATTGCTTGGCCTTTGCTAACGTTGTACCGGCACTGTGTCCAGATCAGGGCACAGATTCGTGATGTGTGGAATGGCGGTGTCAGTATGGCTCCACCCTCAGATTCGTCCTCTGATAGGACTCCATCCCCCCGAGCGACAGTACGACCCCTGGTGCGATTTTAGCGGTGCTGTCCCTGACACATGTACACGAAGTTCGAATATCGAATGCTGAAACCTATTGAATGTGCTCGTTAGCGCGTTTTTCTCAACCAGGATAGTCAGCGAGACCTTTGTGCGTTTTAAAGTCGGGTTCTTTGATCAACATATCCCAGTTATTTTACCGAAACCAGGACGGATGAACGAAGTCGTATGGGGGAATTAACGAAAATTTATGTAGTTGTGCCAGGACGAATCCTAAAAGGAGTCCCGATACGGCCACCTTTCACAGCTCTCCGGACACCCTACCGAAATTTCCCATAAAGTGTTCTTGGGCGGAGACGCCTTGACCAGTTTTCAGAGGATGTACCTCTGCCATGTCTTCATCTAGGGGAGTATATGAGCGCACTCGAAAAAAAAGAAAATACAGGATCAGTAATTCTCACGGGGCCGAGTACGACCCTCCTCAACCGACCGATTTGCTCTGCTTATGGGATTCTCGGTCCAGGAATGAATTGCCGGATCGGCTCCCATCCAGCCAGGCAGGCCCTGTCCCGTCCCACCCTCCCAGGAACAGTAAATAGGTAGAACACTCATTGGAAGGAAGGAAATCGCTGCGCTGGCCCCCGCACAAGTCGTTGTATAGCCACATCGCATTCAATAAACCACCACGAGTCTGAATGGGAGTAGAATGCGTGCCGCATCTCAAAGAGGGATTGACTAATGGCGAATACCTTATCTTTTTATCCTTTTATGGATTCTCGCACGCTGTCGTTCGTTTTTCAAGAGCTGTCTAACGTTCAGCACACAAAACCGCACTAACGCTATTAATACCACTCGCAAGTGCTATCATTAGGACACGTCCTGCCGCTGAGGGAAATTCTCAAAAATTACGGCCCCCCATTTCGTTCTTGCTACGACCCTCTTGCCTCCCCTTCCCATCGTTCAAGCTTTTCCCTTCTCCTTTCTATATTTCCGAAATTTTCCAAGAGCGAAGGGTACAAAGCACCACGCAAAAGGAAAACTGGTGAAAGCAAAGTCAACATTGAAAGGAAATTACTGCCTAAAGCTACCATTTCTTTCAGAGACCCTCACCTCACTTTCGTCGCAGATCCAAATACGACCCCCCTCCCTGCTAAGAATTCTCCAACGTAGGACGTGCCCTGGCTATATGATTCCAATTGGGAGGTTGCCATAGAGTGTGGTTAATTGCCAGAGGCGATGGTGTACACGTTACTTGTCTTTTAATGACCGAAGGTTCGAAGGTTTTATATGCTGAGATGACGATTTGGATTTCGAATTGACGCGATCGAGGGCAATCGCTGCGGCGAATTCCACTCACTCTGATTCCGCATAGTCATACGCTGCAGCTTCAAGTGCCCAGTCGGTTTCGGCTCGTTCTTTCTCGTGCTGTCCTGAAATGAGAGGCGAGCGAGCGAGCGCGAGATGAATAACTAGGGGGCGTCTAAGGGGTGTTGTATTCGTCGCGCCTGTAACGTTCACACCCCCTCCCCCCCACCCCCCCACAGACGCGTTCATCTCAACATATTCCCTGCAGCAATTTGGCGAAGTTTCCTGGAGCGCTTATCTGCTTTTCTGACCCTTATTGTGGCTATACACGCCTTTTTATTGGCTATAGTAGTTCGAATTTGGAATGTCATCAAGAGGGTCTTTCGTGAGTTTTGAAAGATTGTTTTTTAGTCCACCCTAATAATCCGAGCCTCGCGTAGAATTATCTTTTTTTTTTCACGATTTGCCTTCCCCTTTCCTGGTGTCACAGTGCTGATCTGTTATGCGCAGCCGTACAGGCTGGAGTCTTCTGTAATGAAGTATCTGAATTCAGTGCAGAATACATTCCACGTTCGATATAGTTGAAATATTCAGACTCATCGCCGACCGTTCTTCTTGATGAATCGATGATTCCGCTCGTTGGAACACCTCATCCGATGGCGTATATCCCAATGGACGAGGTGTTTACATTTGTCGATCGTCGTCCAAATCAAGAACTTCCAGCGATCACCGAGGAAATCGAGGTTTTGAATGTTCCCATTTGCTACTTTTTGTTTATAACCCGTTTTTTTGAGCCTCCCTAATTTATCTCGACCGACTACAGCAGTAAATTATTGTTAGGATCAAACCCTTCGACGTCGACGATACACGAGAAGTTCATCTTTTGAGGGCCGTTCGCGAAACTCCTCGACTGGAAAGCTCATTGAAGGAACTGAAGCCCGTACCCGAACCGACTCGAACGCAGTCAGAGGCGCTGATCGTGGATGAATTGAAGTATGATGTTGAAGTCCCGACTGGAATATTCCACAGGTGAAATTTTTTCCTTCCAAAGAAAATACCGCGGTCATTTTTCAATGATGACGAATCGTCTACGAATGACGGTATTCGTCACCGTATATAGAAGGAGCTTGCCCTGCCCTGTGTGTCAGCTTGGTTTTTCTGGAATTTTTCTCGAGAATTCCTGACTATTACTACCCTTACTGATTCAAAGTTAGTTTAATCTCCTTGTCTCCACTGAAAATAATTCGATGAGGAGGTAGTGCGCAATATCGAGCTCTTCTTTGCTTTTCGCGTTAGCAGCCAAGGGACCAAGGCAAGTCCGGGAGGAATTTTTTAAAAGTGCAGCTCCCAGCCCAATTTACTCCTCTGGTAGGATACCCCTTCCCCACCCTAGCTACTATCTTACCTTTTTTCCCCGGCCTTCCTACCATTTTTTTCCAACTTCTCGAAAGACTCAACAGGTCCCCCTCTCCTCCCCCCCCCCTCCTGAAAAACTGCAGGAGGATCGCTATTTGATCGCTGGAGGGAGGGGGTCATTCGGGAAGAGAGTGCCAGCGAACAACCATTGAATTCAGTCATCGGAAATTGTGGTTTAACAGCACGTTGGATTCACCGCCGACTGTGAGGAGCAAAGTTTCAAGCCAGATACGACCCCCCCCCCTCCAGCCACCAGATAACGATCCTCCTGCTGGGAATTTCCGAGCATGCGGCCTCCCTTGCAAGGGAATTACTCGCTATCTGCCAGAGAGTTAGCTTCAGATGTCACTCTTCAATCCTAAAACGGGAATTCTCGGCCTACTTTAGTAAAGAAGAGGATATTTCCCGTGGTTTTAAATAATGTTACAGGCGAGCAGTTAGTGACAACATGGGTGTTCCATCTGATCGACGTATGGAGCTCCATCGAACGCAAGAAATCGAGGAGATCGATCGCGCTTGTGACGATGTGGTCCGTTATGTCGTTTTTTTCATACGGAACTAGATGTTCGTGGATTGAGACAAGTTTCGGAATATTTTCAGGAAGTGCAAATGCGCTCTCAACGACCTGTTGTTCGTGCGAGTTCCGTCGTATCGAACAGATGTCAGAGCCAAGTGAGTTTTTTGTCCGCTTTGAAGGTTTCAGCTACAGATAAGGAGTTACATTAGTCACAGTTCGATAGCAAAAGGAATGATTCATTGGCATCAGTTCTGTTCCTGAATTTGGCTTCTTGAATTTTCATAATATAGTGCTGGTCTGTGGGGAGAAAAGGACTGTTTTGTGGATTTTTTTCAACTTCTTTCTTCTCCACCTAGTTTCAATGTTAAAACTGCCCTTTTACAGGACTGCGCAGTTTTTTTTTATACTTGACTGCCTTAGGTGATTCTGTTATGATGCTCGCTTTTTTTTAAAGGTATTGCCCGAAAACAAAGTCTGGGATGTAGTAAGACAGCTAGTGTTCTCAGCCAGTTGGCTCGTCATCGCACTTGCAAGGGAACTGAGTGAAGCTCGGTGCCGTCTCCATACTCGCTATCCTCACGTTATTCTAGCGCTTGCGTCGGTATCAAAATCCCGCAGTAAAACTGCTGGTCAGCCATAGAGAGCAACCAGAAGAGGGCGCAGAGAATTAGGGCATTTGGCTATGGTTAGGCGTGTGGTGGCCGTGCGGCAGCACGAGCAGAGCCGGGGGCGCGTGTTACTGCCTTTAAGCGCCGAGCGGAAAAATTGGCAAAGATCGCAGCTACGGAACATTTCATCTCGCATATAGCTAGGACCAGACGCATAAGTGTGTAGTTCGCGGCAGCAGCAAATATGACGAAGATTCATGCGTGCCGTTGTCCCTTTGGATTAACTACATCAAGTCATGGTTTAGTCACATTTCTGGTTATACTGGTCAGAACAATAACCTTACTTAGGAAGGTTATTGATCTGGTTTGGACAGAAGAATCGTAAATGTCTTCATTCGGAACGTCCTTGTCCTTCGCGGGTTCCACGACTGGGCAAAACATGAACTGAGCCTGACTACTGCCAGGGTGTCCCATGGAGGAAAAAAAGGCCGAACTCGTGACCTTGGTTTCCGAGGGAGTTTTACCCAAAGCAACTTTCGACTAAGGCTGCATCAATACTCGGTAAATAATGGCAGACGGTCAGGACAATCGTAGTTTGTCACTCGGTCGCAGTGGCGTTCTCTTAATCTTCGTTAACCTGTCGAATGGAGCAGCGCATTTCACGTAGAGTACAACATCGTGGACAGTTGTGGCTATTTCTGGTTATACTTAGTAGTACCGTCATCAACGACCTGGAAACATCCATTTGGGTTCGCGACGTCGCGACATGCCCACCAGCGCGGCGATTCACGATTGTCTTGTCACTGCAGCAAATGAATCTGTATGCCATTGAAAGGGTACTTCAACTTGGAGTTGCTCTATCTGTCTCTCCCAGAAGAGCGCTACCTCTACGTATAACATCGAATGGGCTGTTGGCAGCCGTTCGCCGAGCGTGGAATCAGCCATGAATCACAATGAGATCATGTCATTCTTTCACTCAAACTGACAAATTGCGTCGTCGCCTTACGACAGAAAAGCAGACGAGGACTCCCTATTCTTCTCGCCATCTCTGTTTTCTTCATTTGTCTTCCTTGCCCAATTTTCACTTTTTAGTAATTGCCGTTTTTTTAAAAACGGGGGACTTTTCATGAGACCTCATTTCAAATGTGAAGGGACGACATATATTAGGTTATCAGGAACGATCTGCCGTTTCTTTAAAGCTGGGTTTTTTTAGAGAGGCGCATAAGATCAAAAATATACAGCATTGTAAATGCGTAGTTTTTGCCAATTCTTACGGTTGCCATCACTTCACAATGAAGGCCGTCGCGACGAGAGCTGGGCATCATCTCGATTTTGACTCGCGCTCAGGTCAAGAAGCTGTTCACGTCCATGTAACGGGTTATTTTGCAAGAAAACTAGACTGGAAGTAGCAGTGTCCGGGTTACAATGATCCGAGCCATCCAGTGCTGTTGCATAAGGTTCTACTCGACGTTGAAGAAAGACACTGGTAACCAATTTTTTCCTCTGATAGACTATTCGCTTCAGATCTCGCAGCTGCTGCCTGCAAGGAGTGACCTTGGAAGAATTAGGTTGTCCGGAAAGTTCTCAGCGTTTTGAGTGTTTCACTTTAACGATCATAACTTTCTTAATACTCATCGGATTTAATCGAAATAAGCACCATTCGAATCAGCACACTTTTGCCAATGTGACAGCAGTCGAGAAATCCCATCAAAAAAACTGGGTGGTCGAGAATCCACGAAATCCACGAAGGCTTTTTGCCTGGTCCTGATTGATGAAGTATTTTCCAGCAAGGAAGTTCTGAAAATGTTTGAAAAGGTGATAGTCGGTTGGTGAAAGGTCTGGAGAATATGGCGGGTGAGGTAGAACTTCAACCCCCAATTCGTTCAATTTATGGATAGTGATTTGTGAAACGTGTGGGCGGGCGTTGTCATGCAAAAGAATCGGACCCTTTCTGTTGACAAGTGCTGGCTGCAGCTGACGCAATTTTCGGTACATTTCGTCGATTTCTTCACAGTAGGACTCTGCTGTGATGGTTTGGCCTGGTGACAAAAAGTTATAGTGGATCACACCAGCCGATGACCACCACACTGTGACCATAATCTTTTTTCGTGAGGATTCGGCTTTGGAAATTGCCTCGGTGGTTCGTCGGCATCCACCACTGTCCGAACGTCTCCTGTTATCATACATGATCCACTTTTCATCACAGGTGACAATTCGGTCCAAAAACGGGTCGTTTCTGTTGCGCAAAAGCAGTGAAGAAGAAACCTCGAGACGTGCCAATTTCTGCCGGTCACTCAAATTGGGGCACCCACTTGTCGAGTTTTTCACCTTCCCAATGCGTTTCAGACCATCCGCAACAGTGGATTTGCCAACGCCTAGCTGCAATCTCTCGAACTGTTTGGGATGGGTCAGCCTCCACAAACGCCTTCAAATCCTCGTCAGGTATTGCTTTAGGTCGACCGCTACGAGGTTCATCTTCAAGGCTGAAATCTCCAGAACGAAATTTGTCGAACCATTGTCGCACGGTGCTTTCTCCAACACTATTGGGCCCCCACCTGGTTAATTTGTCGAGCTGTCTCGACTGCGGATTGACCCAATTTGTAGTTGAAGAAAAATATCGTCCGAAGTTGCTCTTTTGACATGCTTCAAAAAGTCTTGGGAAAAGGGGGTTTATCAAGCAATGGTGAAACGGCAATTATACCATCAGATAGCGCAAAGAATTCTCTTCAGGATGTACTACTGAGACGCAAGGGAGAATGAGTTTTTAATCAGCAATGAATGTACAAAAAATAGTAACACAAAACGCTGAGAACTTTCCGGACAACCTAATAGCTTCTTCTCTCAGTAGTTTCACCAGCCGCAGCTCCCTCGAACTAAGTTCACATAGACATCCAGGCCTCATTTTGTCTTCAAGACTAGGCCTCCACGTTGGAGCATCGGCGTCGTGGAACAGGAGTGATAATTGGGGGCATCATCCTTATGCTGCTTTATTTTTCCTTGGCAGCTCGCTTGCAGGATGGAAGAAGAAAGAAGTTTAAGGGAGTCTGCTGACGGTATACACTAAACCAGGGGAGTCCGTATGTAATTGGCTAAAGGTTCCTGCGTGGCTGAAGG